GCATTCTTGCATGTATCACAGAGTTGTTCTTCAGTCCATGCGTGTCCTCTATCACCTACATATGAACAGCTAACTCTCTTTTAATGACCCTGGAAGCTGTTTATCAGTGAAGGGTACATAATGCTCTGTTGTCATTACTGTCCCTCTCTGGGACAAAGTCCACACGTCCCGTATAGATGACGGGACGCTCTCTAAATTGTCCTTCACAGCCGTCTCCTTGTCTATTGACTGAGTGTCTTTTTTCTCCAGTAGACGTTATTGTCAAATTGTTTCTCAAACGGGACACAATTGAAAAGGCAGACAGTTGTTCAATGGCCTGAGTTTTACCATTGATTCCCAATAGGTCCAGCGTGTATTCTGTCGTCCCGGAGAACAGAGGGAAAACTCTCAAACGCACACATAGACACACGCGTTTGAGCATGACGCCTGTGCATGTGTGCAGATGTCCGCTTTCATTTAAATAGTGCCCCCGTCCCGGTGCATTCTATTACCTGATACAGTAGGATAGCACAGATCAATGGGAGCCAAGGAGACATCATGAACACACAGTGCGGCCCGGAGGCAGATGGTAGCTGCAGTGAGAAGATGCTTGTTATTTTCTTCCTCTGTTATGGAGATCATTAGCACAAGGAAACACTCAAATATGTCCCAGCACCCGAAGCATATGCACTGAGATGAAACTTTATATTTTAGAAATCACCATATTAAAGCACCATGTGTGGATGTGCTCTTAGAACTCACAGACTGTAGCATAAGAAAACAATTATGCAAAAAGATCATTAGGGTGTAAAAATATACTGTACTTACCAGAGTCTATAGTAATTGTTATCTAAAACTGCAAACACTGTTTCACTTGAGACATTTACCTGGATGGAATTGATTAAGTTTCCTCTTAAATCCAGAAAAAAACATAGCTGAAAGTTGGTCAATGTAATAAATTAGTTTGGAAAGTAAAGCGCACATTACATTGTTATTTTTAGCACTAACAAACTGTGGTAAGATCTATCTGCATTAGACAATTGTGTATTTCAAACAACACATATTTTCACATATTTCAATACTGCACTGAAACAACATGGTATTTGTACGTAGTTCGATAAAAGTTTGGATGAAGCATTGCTTATTCCATTTCAACCCTCATCACACACGCCACACAATAAAATGCTATAATAATATCATGCAGTAGAATTCAAAAACACAAGTTTACAGTACATACAGTAACACAATACATGACATTACCACATATGGTATAACACAGACAAAACAAAACACACACACGTACACAAATATGGAAATACATGTATTTGAAGACAATCAGCAAATGTAAAAAGCAAATAAAACACATGATTGTAAATATAAGGAAAACAAAGCTAAGTTATGATTGCGTTACTGTAGTGCACAAATTAATGTTTATTCCCTCTTTTACAAAGCCCCCCTCCTTCAGAGTGCCACCCCCCTTTGTGGGGGGTGTTGTGGATTGATGCATACCACCGGAGTGGCCGTTTCTGCTGAGAACAGGCCGCTCCTCTGCCTAATGATACCACATCCATCCTGCAGCCCATGTGTGTGTTTGTGCGAGTGTGTGTGTGTCTGTGTGTATGTCTGTGTCCACCTGGGGGCTCCACGCAGCACCTTACACCCTGCTCTGATCACTCTTTATTTGGCACAGAACATGTGTGTGACCATATGTGTGTGTGAGAGAGAACTGAAGGGTCCAACGCGCCCATTAATATTAAATATAGATACCCTTGTCAGTGAATTACATTGTGTGATCCCATATGCTCGTCTTAGGAATGAGGTGAGAAGGAGAACGAGGATGAGGGGGGACCGCACGGTGAGGAAGGAGGACAGGTAAGAAGACAACCACAAGATGACCACTGCTTTCATTCAGCCAAATCTAAAACTACCACTGAAAGATTCCAAGTTTTCCCCAGTTGTGCATGTAGCAATCGCCTTGTCGCTCATGAATATTGTTCTTGTGGCTCAGGAGTGGAGTTCACAATCCGGGTTCTGTGTTGTGAGTTTAAATGTGACCTAAGTGTGTTATTGTTATATGATAGTTTTCACAATCACAATTTGTACTTAAGTTTATTAAAATTACTTTTTTTACATTTAAAATCACTAAACATTTAAAAGTGTATTGGAGGTTTTTCACAAATTTTAGAAAGAACCGCACTCCTCAGTGGGAACACGTATTAAAACGTGTCTCGCATTATCACCAGAATGATTGTCAATTAGGAGAACCACTAGTTTAGATGATCCACCCAGAAGTAGAAAATCCTCCCATATACCTTTGATATATTTAAATATCTAAAACAGACACAATGGCGCTGTTGAGGGCACTCTCCTCCTGCTTGCATTCCAAATTTCAATGGGAGTCATAATAATTATAATAATCAGGGAGACAGTGAGTGGGGGGCCGTCCACCTTGTGTAGCAAACATATTTTTGGTGGCCGTGTTGCATCTGATCCATTAAAACCCATTCAGAAAAAGGACCAGGGAAGAGCAGGGAACAAAAATAAACACATCCTTTAAGAGAAGTACATAAATAATTTAATTGATCCCACTGTTGAATTGTTTTATATCTGGATTTAATCATCTACAGTATACATTTCTTACAATTTCAAACTGTTGAATAATTTGATAGTTTAGAAATTGTAGCCTATGCTTTTTTTGGTAAAATCTACAAGAATGTATATGATTTGATTTTACTCAGTGCTCAGATGAAAGTTTGTTAGCTCATAGCGTAGTGTTTTACATACCCTTTCTGCTGGGCAAGTTCATCAACTCAGAAACAAATTGTGGGTAATATTGTTAATTTCTGAAACAGTTATAATGCCCTAGCAGACATTTCTACGATAGAGCTAAAGGTGTTTTTGCTATAATCCACGGGATGGAAAATTCAATGACAATAAGTAATACTGTGATGTAAAAACAATCAATGACAAATCTGCTTCAACAACATGAAACAGATGAGAAAACAAATGTGTTCGAGAATGTGCTGAGAGAGCGTTGATGGAGGAGTTTGGGGATAGATGTGGAGGGAGGAGTGGTCCTCTGATTGATCGTACAGAGCCTCGGACATTTGGGCAAAGAGACAAGCGGGAGGGGAGTCCAAAAGAGAGGCTAAAATCCATCACTCTGTTACAACATCATCGCAAACCAGGAAAAGGGAAAAAAAAAACGCTGCATAAAAGTGATCGTCCACTGGAGCTGACTAAAGCACAAATTATGGTACTCAGTGGACAGGGGTTGCGTTAAATTGACCAGACCAGAGCAATTTGTTGGGCGTAAACGTGTGAGAACATGGAGTGATTGAGTGATGACAGACGTTGGAAAAACAAGAGAGTGAACAGCTTTGACCTGTCATGTGGCTGTGAATAAAGGAGAGATGGACCCGAGGAAGCCAGGAAAAGAGGAGTGACAGTTTGATTTTCCTAGCGTGGCCGTTCATTCCCATATTCCCCGGCAAGCTCTCACCTGATGGAAAGATGGCAGAAAATCAATAGTCCATGTGCGTAATAGAGTAATGACTCGAAGCGTATGTGTGTGTGTATCTGACCGATCCCTAAGCAATCACACACAGCTTAAGCCAGTCCCTCGGGGTGGGGGCCACTTTAACTAACAACTTCATTACTCCAGTCCGGGCCCCCGTACACACATACGCAGACAGCCTAACGCAAACACTGTTGATCCCACACTCCACTTATTACTTTGATACGTCTTATTCAAGCGGAAAGTTAACTCGGCTACTGCTACAGCCAATTTTTCTTTCACTTTGTAGACACTTTACTTGAAATTTGATGCAATGTCTTTAACCATTTTGTATAGCAAAACATATTCCCGGCATTATTTGTAATACGTTATTTGATAGGTTTTATGGTAAAGCTAGGGCAACTTACTTTCACGCTACAAAAACAATAATTATGTACCACTGATCTAATCAATCCATATTACTAGACCCTAGCTCTCGTAACAGTTTGGATCTACAGTATCACTTGTTTTCACATGCTTGTATTTTTGCCTCTCTCACATTTTTAGATTAGCTTTTTTCAGCCGTAATTGCGCAAAAGAGAGCTCTCATCTTAAAGAGCTAATTGATGAAGACAGCATGTTGTGGTGTCAACGTTTAACCCTTTCTGTTGGGACAAAACTTTTTATACAAAATAAATGTTTTTTTCAGCTCTACATCAAAAGCATTTACTACATTAACATGTCGTGAACACACCATATCACGACCATGCCATATTCTCTTGTTTCAGTCAATAACTTACTGCACAACCCATTCTCTCACTAAGTTCCCTCGTACGGTATTCATTAAAATACTCTTCCGGGACTCATACTTGACTGTGCTGTTTTCTGTTTCTTTTTCTCTGGATTCGATGTATATTTACACATCCAAACTCGATCTACCGTGTCCAATCATCTCCAATCTGGCTCTGTTATAAGCATTCCTTGTTTAAATTTCTCATAAATTTCAACTCCACTCTCCTTCCTCCTCCAGTTTATGCATCCCTCCTACAAGTCATGAGATATGATTGATTGATCCAAGAACACTTTGTTTTTGCCCAATAAAAAGTCTTCTTCTTAACATAATCCAAAACATGCACAATAGCTAAAAATCCTTCTGATATATGAGCACGTCCAGAACGCCGTTAAAAAACAGAGGATGAATTTACTTAACACGATTAATAAAATATACTTTCAACTTTAATCTGTGGCACATTTGAACGCAACCGTGTATGTATCAACGCTGTACATGATTATTTCCTTAAAGATCACACAACACAATACTTCCGTACAGTCTGCAGCCCGGGATCCCTTTGTGTCTATGTGTTTACCCAAACAGCTCTCTGAAGGTCTCAGGTCTCTGCCAAGTTGTTGTGTGGCTGTGAAAACATTCCCACTTCAGGGAATCCGCGGCTCTTCGACACACTCGCACACACGCACCGAGAAGCACGCCTCAATCAACCAATTAGGTCATCAAGGGGATCTCTCATCACAACAACAGGCTCACTGCCATGTCCAAATGATGTGAAGCCGGCACACCAACCGCCTCGCTCTCCTCGCCGGGCTCACTTGAGATGCCCGCACACTCATTTGCACAGCCACCCTGGGAAAAAACACACGCTGGCCCCCCTTACCCACTGATCAAAAAGAATGATGCTCTTTCTAACTATGCATCAGAGGAGGATGGAGAGAAGAGAGGAATTTGGACAAAAGGTGTCCCATCACGGCGCGGCAGTGGTGCAGACCGGCAGCTCACGGCACCGGCCCCCTCTGTTTACTAGCGGCTAATTAATTCGCCACATATGCTGAGAACATCTGTCGCTAGTGACCTGCCGGGAGAGCAGAGGACGTACTGCTGCGACGGCCCACGCTCCCCCCGCACCCGAATACACTCACTCATTACCACGCACACACACTCACGGACAGGACTAATGTGTCCACGCACCGGGGCCATAACGTCACATGTGGAGAGACGGGCAGAGTTGGATTTTTTTAATACATTGAAAAACATTTAATGACTTATCAACTAACAATAACTTCAAGAGCATGTACTTGAGTTCATAGCCTCTCCTAGTGATGGTGATTGAAACCAGGTAGACCTGCTCTACACATACACAGTAAATGACAGCCTAAACAATGGTCTGTGGAGGAATTTGGAGTGGTGAGTTTTCTGTACATGTTCAGATTTAGAAAAGCAGGTTTTTGTCTGTGCCTCTGTCCTTCATGCTGCGCGGTGTCAAAGCCAAACTTGGCAAAAATAAAAAAGTACAACTCTGTGAGTGTGCAAACCGCAGGAGCAGCAGAAAAACTCCACCAACCAATCAAATTCATTAACCTCCACTATCCCACAATCCCCTGGGGCACATACAGAGACAAAGACAAACTCTTGGCCTTGTGTCCTGCATCAGCTCCTGCTCCCTTCTCCTCTACCAACGCCCCATAACACCCAAACTGTCGGGACAGGCTCCACGTACTCTAATGTGGAGCTCATTCATTAAACTGACTTTTATAGACTCTATATACCACAAACACCTGCACAGAGAGTCTCACTATGGAACTGTGTGAACAACCGCGAGGACAGAGGACAGTCCTGCATAGGTTTTGTATTCACATCCGTTCACGATGGAGGAACATCATCTTTACATCTCAGACTTAATACTTCATCACCTGCTTTAATGTGTTCATTATTGAAGCTGTGCTCTTGGCTTTTCACCTTAAAAGTATTGCCTGTTGAAGCAGTAAATTTCCCTTCATCGGAAAGTTGGAAAGAAGGCTTGTGTTTTCATCATATCATTGATTGTTAATTCGAGTCTGAAGGGAGGCTGAGCATTTTAGTGTTTGGACAGGGTCATTAGAGTTCTCATTACCTGCCATTTCATGGACCTCAACCAAAGGCCTTTAATTGACCCTGCTGGCTGCTAATTCTAAAAGTCATTCAAGTTCTCCGTTAGTTGTAACTCAGTGATCGGCAAATGAGTCAACAAGTCAACCACGAGCCCGCCATCCGATCCTCCTGAGTCAAGCAGCAGCCACCCAGCTCGAGAGCCCCCCACCTGTCCCTGCTAATTTGGTGAAGAATCAATTAAGGCAGTGTTTGCTGAGTTCTCCTTGCCTTCAGCTCATCTGCTCCTCTCTAATGCAATTGTCCTGTGTGCTGCGTGCGGAGCGGCATAATAAAGTGATAAGGCTAATCAGGTTGGCTGCTCCTCTCCTCTCCCCATACGCACACTACACTTATTCTATTAGATGTGTAATGAGATTCTGCACTCCATCAACACGATGCCACTGCCGCCGCCGCTGCTGCTGTGTGTCTATGCGTGTGAGCCTATCAAAGTGTGTGTTTGAGTGCGATCGCTTCTGTTCTTGCACAGGAAATTTGCCCCATTTACATTCTATCATTAGCTTGAAACAAATGTGCCCTTGAGCTTCGCGCCCCTGTCTCTATTGGCTCCAAACACTTTACTTTGGCAGACGATCATAGCTATGTGCTTGTTCATGTGCACGCTTTCACCACTGGAAAGACGCATAAACAGGCTCCAGAAGACTACGAGGACTCAAATTTGAAAAGTACTTAACTTTTATTGCTACATGTGCAAGTAAAAGATCATTAAGACTTGTTTAACTTTTCATTATGCTAAACAGTAGAGTCTTCACATGCTTCATCTCTCTCTTTCTCTCTCTCTCACACACACATGCACGCGCTGATATGGAGGCAGCAAAGTGACAGTTTGAGTATATGTAGAGGACACAGGGCTCTGTGATGTGTAGAACAGTTCTGGTCAATGGGCCAGATAATGAGTTGCCATAAACAGCAGCAGTCTTCCACTGTCCGGCTCCGCTCATTACTGCAGCGAGCATATGTAATCAGTGTGTTTCTGGGGCGTGTCTTAATGTACTCCACTCTGCGGCTTCACAAAGACGGGGCGGAGGCCAGAGGGTGGGTCACAGGAAGGTAAAGAGAGATGAGCGGCTCTACCCTGGGAAACCAGGCTTATTGGTATTCAGTACATGGGCCAAGTCTGAGAACTATTTTTGGAAATGTTTCTCAAGTCTGTAGGTTTAAAAGAAAGTTTCAGAAGTTTTGTCAGATGGACTTTAAACTTCTTGTACTAAATTTAAAATCATGCATGAAACTACTTTTCAGTTTGGAGATAATGTTGTCCTGTCTGACATCCACTGGGGCGGTTTGCAGCCAAGTCTGAAAAGGCAGGGATGTAGATCAGCACCTCCAAGTCCGAAGCCCTGGTAGTTGCCCTCTCGCCCAGGTCCTTCCTCAAGTGGAGGAGTGAGGGAAGGACGGAGCGTGAGATTGACAGTCGGATGGGTGCAGCGATGCAGTCGCTGTATTGGACTGACGAGGTGAAGAGGGAGCAGTGTCTGCAGTCAGAGCTGTATCGGGCCGTTGTGAGGAAGAGGGAGCTGAGTTAAGAGGCTAAGCTCTCGATTGACCGAAAGAACGAGATTGTGGATACAAGCGTCCAAATGAGCTTCCTCCGCAGAGTGGCTGTGCGTTCCTTTATAGATAGCTCGGAGTAGAGCCGCTGCCTCCCCACGTCAAGAGACCATCACTGTCATTCAGGGGACAAAAACATCAATCTCCATAATGAGTAATAAGCACCGCTGCTATATATGCCAATTAAATAAAAACAAATTACATATTTTCAGAATTTAACAAAATGTTGCCTTTGGCAGGATGCTGTAGTGTGATGTAGTGCCCCATTAGATCTATAGCAGGATAAAATTATAAAATTATTGTGTTTAATTTTTTTTATTTTTTTTTTCACATTAAATGGTATTAATATTTCACATGGTCAAAAACAGGTTTAAAGATTAATTACATAGAAAATGTAATTTAGTTGCATAAATTATACTAAATTGAGTCAAGATCTTGTTTTAGTAGATCTCATCATAGTTTGTAATCCAGCCTCATACCAACCCTTACCCTTTAGGGGTGGTGAATGTATGAATAATATTCTTTCCAACTAGAGTGAAAACTGCAAGAATTCTGCATACAAAACAAACTCCCTAATCCAACGGCTATAGTTTTGCTAATCTGTTGACTCAAAATTATAGAATACAGAAGTGTCTTTACCTCATTAGCATAACTCGGTGGAAGACAAAACAACAGACCGCATACAGTATATGGGATAATTTGGAGGCCAGGAAGCTGTCACTGAGACATAATTAGAAAACCTCCACACAAACGCACACAAGTACAAAGTCTCACGCTGAGCACTTCCTCATTAACTCCTCCAGAATGATAAAACACAGTTCGCTCTCATCCCACCCAAGATTCTACAAAGACCAGATAGCATTTCAAGCGGCCTCCTCTAAATCTTTAATTATAACTTTATTTGAAGAAAACAAGGGAGCACTTAATAAGCAAATGAGAGTGATAATAACTAGGAATATGGATTGGCGCTAACAGACAAGATTATAGTGGCGGACCCCTGCTGTGAGACAATGAGACAAAGAGAGGGACTTGTAAATAATGTGACAGAAGCAGTAAATTATGGGCTAAATACTCAAAGCTGTAATTATGTTCCTCTTTGAATAGACAGTGATGAGTGGCAGACGAGGAGAGGGTTTCAATCTAAAGCGGCTTCCCCCCTCTCACTATCCCATATCCCATTTACATAAACTCTTGACTTGTTTTACCACAGAAAAGATCAATCATTTCAGGAGTGGTTTGTTTGAAAGAGGAAGTTTCATTATTTGTGCCATGAGATTATATTGGCACTGGGATTTCTTCTTTATTTTTGGGTTTAACAAAAGTCCAATTTGGTTTAACATGTATGAAAACAACTACAACGCTAATTTAAATGGTTACAGATTAATATAAATGTATTGGTATCTTAACTGCAACACATTTCAACTACACCTACTAGTACTATAATCAATACATTTATTCAGCCTCAAACATTTACTCTTATAAATATTTATTGTAGTATGTTTTGTTGTAAAGCTGCAGCTGTCATGGTGTGGATATTTTCGTTTACTGTGTAACATTTGTTGCCCTGTGTTTTGAAAGATCCATGAGTATGTGCGGAGAAATGCTTCTAATATCACTCCTAGTCGGTGGGGGTGGACCCGGAACAAGAATTACCTAATGTTTTTGTATGCCGCCATCTTTCCTCTCAAAAACGGCTTTACAGGATGGTCCAAAAGTCGGCTCTTGGCCCAACGCTATACGCTCCAGATGTGTGTCAATGCTGAGGGGAGTTTTTTTTTTTTGGACCCGCCTAGTTTAGCCGCTGTGGATTTTTGAATGCACTCGGTAAATGAATGGGGCTCAAATGCGGCAAACGCATGCGCAAATGAGTTTTTTCACATTTTCCCCACGGCCATTTTGAAAAAGCCCAAAGGCGGGAAAAGAGATGGCGCAATGGCAGAAATACTAGGTGTGACTACGTCCGTTAATATTCACAGTCTATGGTCCCACTTTAATGTTGCACCTCGTGTTGTCAGTTCATTGAATCCACGTTCCTGTTTTGTTTTATCCCTGGATTTATTGTGTTTTCTTCTACTTAATTTTTCCACAGACGTCGCTCTACCGCTCCAGCCCCAGTGAACATCCAGGCAAGGGACATTGAGAGAGTGGACTCATACAAATACCTTCACCCTGTTCACCTGAATCACAAACTGGACTGGACTCATCATACAGTTAGTTAGTTGATGCAGAAGTTCGAGCTTGTGCTTCACAGCCAGAAGGTTCTGAGTTTGTATGTTCTCCCTGTGCCCGCTCCGGTTTCCTCCAAGTGCTCAAGTTTCCTCTGGGTGCCCCGGTTTCCCTTACCACTAAAAACATTTACAATAGGTCTGACACTCAAGAGGGGCCTGTATGGTGACCCGCTCTTACGTCACTGTGTGTGTGAGTGAGAGGAAAAATGCCCACAATTGTAAAGTCCTTTGTGACAAAAATATACAGTATATAAAGAGAGACAGAAAAAGCTGATTGAAACTCTGAACATTGTAAAGCGCTTTGGGTGACCTGTATAAATAAACTTCCTTACTTATCTAAAGATATGACAGATTTCAATAATACCTGTGTGTGAAAATTCGTTTTGAGAGTGAGGAACTACATGGATCCTATTAAATATAACTAGTAACTACAAAGGTTGCCCTATTTTCACCATCATCTTTCTCTAGTTGTGTTGCCTGTCTATAGTTATTTTATTTGTCCCCTTCCTCCTTCTGAATGTCCAAGTCTCTTAAGGTTTGTCTTGAGCCTCAGCACTTGGAATTGAGTTGTAAAGAGAAGACAAGTATTCACAGTGGGCTTACTCCATTCAGCGGTGAGTTCATTTCCCTCACTCTCAGTGGTGTTTCTGTCTGTTTGCATGTTAAAGATCTCATATTGTAAGTGTGTGTGTGTGTGTGTGTGTGTGTGTGTGTGAACAGATTCTATCACCATCATCCACGCAGCTGTACATATGTCACACAACATCACTTTCCATACATGGTTTTATTTGACATATGCTTAACCAGGATCGTGCGTGTGCGTGTGTACTGGTGTGTGTTTGTGTGTGTGATAGCGTGATAGCATGTGTGTGTGTGTGTGTGTGTTATGTGTGTGTCCCCAAGCAGCAGTCTGAA